CACAGCTCTGGTGCCCTTCGCAGCAAAAGTGAGTGTCGTGCCTCGTTGCAGTGTCCGTTTTGGTACAGCAGAGAGTGAGCAGAAAGGAACAATATTTTTTCCTATTTAGATCATTCAATACGCGTAAATTCCGGGAATATGACTCATATAAAGCAATCCGAATCTCAAGAAATATCTCTAATAAATCTTCTTAAAAAATTTGGCGGAGAATAATATATAGCTTCTTATTTTTAATAAATTATTCAATTTATTATCAATATCTGGGTTGTGTGCGAAATAATAAGACATAAATATAAACCAAAAAAATAGAAGTTCTTCCAAATTTTTTTCGTAGAAATATCTATAGAAATCAAAAAAAATATCTCAAAATTCATTAATTTCCAAATATATCGGCTTCAATTTACCGATCGCAAAATACTAAATAAATATTTCTATAATCACTAATCTTAAAAAAAAAAAATGTTTTCATCTATCTTATCTTCTATTCGAAACCCCATGCTCCAGAGAAACTATTAAGTAACGATATAAAATTCGAAAATTATTGTATCAAATTTCCAAAATCTATCAATCAACATAAGAAATCCAAAAATAAAATTAAAAAATGAAATTTCAGTTCTTATCGATTATATTTCGATATTACCCGATATGTATATAAAAATCACCTTAAGATTATTCTCGAAGATGCATAAATCAATATAAAACATTGTTCATATATATAATTATCAATCAATAAAATAATTTTCTACAAGAGAAAAAGACATTTATTTGTTTTGAAATCATAGAATAAATGAATTTATAGATAATCCATTTATGACGAAATCGACGGTTAAATATTTAAATATAATATCATATGATCATCATAATTTCCATCAGGAGGTCCCAGGGGTAGATTTCAAGATAATATGGGTGCCAAATCAAGATTTCTAGCGCAGTATATCGGCCACTCATTCGGTGTCCAAAATGCGCGACTGTCCCAGACGTTGCGACCTGAGAAGAGCAAGAGACTCTTGCTCGATTTTCAAAGAGACGCAACTTGCGAGATGCTCTAAAGAGCAACTCTCGACCCCGAACCGGAAACCACTGTAGACCTGTAGCCGCTGCCCTGAAGAGAAGTGCAGGTACCCGCCTTCCCCCTGAGCTTGAACCGGAAGAAGAGTCCTGACAGCACAGAGATGCCGCTAACGGCTGGACACTCTCCTCTGCAGAGGATGGCGATGATGCTGCGGTGACGATGATGCTTGTGTTGATTCCACAGGCTAGTGAGGTGATAATTTGAAGATGGTGGGAACTGCTACTGCCGCCTTGATGACGACGATCCGTCACAAGAATGCACCGCTTTGAGTCTTGAAAATAAATTCCGTCTCGCTTACCAATGTCGGATCAATCTTAACTCTTCTAGCCCGGAAGTGTGCAAGGGGTACAAATTGCAAGTAGATGACCGAGTGATGCAAACATGTCAGGCACACCATGTGCTCCAGAGCGACGACAGCATCCGGCTCACCTCGTCTCAACGTGTGCTGCCGCCACTGGTTGAGAACAAACATGGGCGACTTGAGCTCTACTTGACAAGAGAATGCATGATGCACAAGCCGGCCAGCTTCCACGCTGGGAGGGGCCAGCAGGGAGGCGGAGACCCTGAGCTCGGAGCTGCTTTCATCCTGCAGGTCGGCAGTTTCTCAGCAAAATCTGCCCCGACGCAGCTCGGCTTCCGAGTTTCTACGACCAGCCTGAGCACTGTCGTCCCTTAAGAAAAGACACCACAAGCCTCATCTGGGCTTTCCTCCTCTTCCTGCACAGGATGCAGCTTCGACAAGGATACGTTTGGAATTGTAAGCTGCTGCGCTCAGGCTTGTCATGGAAGCTTGTTCCATACTGTGGTATCACGTGCTGTTAGCGATGACTGCTACGCCAGGTTTCCTGTTTGGCACAACGCAATGCCGTTGATCGCGGAGCTGCCGCCGTCCTCTTCGTATGTGTATGAGGAGTCCCCGTCGGACTTGGAAGCACCTGACCGTGAACTCGCAAATTCATCGTGATCGAGCACCTCCGATGGTGCTGATGATGACGATTGTCATGATGATAATGATGATGATGATGATGATGAGGGTGCTGGTGGTGACAGGCGTGACACTAAGATAAACATCAACAGACATGACCGACACGATGAGGATGCCAATGAAGATACAGGTGACGATGGTCAAAGTCATGAGGGCTGTTCTGATGACGATGAAGATAATGGTGCTCACACCATATGAACTCTCATTGTGCCATTGTCATCAAAACACTAATGACTTCGAAAGTCAGGAGGATAGCGAGAAGCGATGCTTGAGGCTGCTGAACCCTGCGCCTCTGCGTGCTCACACAGGGTAGTTGTGTATTTTCGGGTCTAATCGAAACTGCTGCCTAGGACCGGAGTGGTGCTGCCGTACGTTAAGTTTTGTTGGAAATCCGGTGTCGTTTGTGGAGGAAGGATGTCCGAGGTTCGGGCAGCCGCCAGGAGCCGCCTGAGTCTCGTATAGGGCTAGGGGCATTGCTAATTCGAACATGGTCTTGGGCCTGGGACACAGGCGAGTTACGCAAAAGATTGCATGTTGCAGGCAAGTGTCTTGCTTGTGTGGTGCAGGTTCAGGCTCTCGACATTTCATGTCTGTGCTGCTGGCCCCACTGCTGCTGTGACTGCAGCTGCGGGCTGTGATGGCTTCCTGTCTACTTGAAGGACCGGCTCTGTCTGCGCGACCTTGTTGCGACTTGATCAAGCCAGCATCATATTTCGCGACACTTTCAAGCGTCGAAGCACCAGAATCCTGTGTTGCAAAAATCTGCTCGAGTGGACCGTTGGACGCAGCTTGCCGATGTCCCAGCAGGTCCGACGACATGCGTTTCGTCGCGGGTTCGGGTTCCATACTGATCTCTTCAATTGCATCTGCTACAGAGCTCGACGCGCTGCTTCTCTGGCTGATCATCGCAGCTCCCTCGTTCTCGTCTTTCTTCTCTCTGGTCGCAGGCGGCACCCCTGCCAAGGAGCTTTGTGCTTCGTCTGCGCCGCCTTGCTTCAGTGAAAGCCCCGCAGCCATTTCGGCACCGAACGCCCTGTCGGAGAAAGAAGTTTTGTGCTGGGTGTTACTCATCCGGGCCTGGGCAATCCTTCCCGTGGCAAACACCGGCTCCACGCTGATCTCCTCCAGGTCATCAGCAAATATGCCAGACAAAACACGCGGTTCCTGTGACCCGCTGGTGCGTGGTAAGTGCTGAGGTGCCATCAAGTCCTGATGTCCCTGGTGTGTCACAGGTTCCGTGCCGATCTCTTCAATCGATTCTGCCACAGAGCTCGACACACTGCTTCTCCGGCTGGATCTGGCGCTTTCCTTTTCGTCTTTCTTCTCCCTGGTCACCGGCTCCGCCCCTGGCAAGGGGCCAACTTGCGCTGCTTCTGCACTGCCTTCCTTCGCGGTCGGAGGAGCCATCTCGACACTCAACCCTCTGCCCCTCGTCACAGGTTCCACGCCGATCTCTTCAATCGATTCCGCCAGAGAGCTCGACACGCTGCTTCTTCGGCTGGATCTAGCGCTTTCTTGCTTCTGTCTGCTCACTGTCTCCTCCCCTGCCAGGGGGCCAGCTTGCGTTGCTTCTGCGCTGCTTGGCTTCGCTGTCGGAAGACTCATTTCGACACTCATTGCTCTGCCGTAGGAGGTATCCCTCGCCAAGGTTTCCATGCCGATCTCTTCAATCGATTCTGCCATAAAGCTCGACACACTGCTTCTCCTGCTGGATCTAGCGCTTTCCTTTTCGTCTTTCTTCTCCGTGGTCACCGGCTCCGCCCCTGGCAAGGGGCCAACTTGCGCTGCTTCTGCACTGCTTTCCTTCGCGGTCGGAGGAGCCATCTCGACACTCAACGCTCTGCCCATCGCCACCGGTTCCACGCCGATCTCTTCAATCGATTCAGCCACAGAGCTCGACATGCTGCTTCTTCGGCTGGATCTAGCGCTTTCTTGCTTCTGTCTGCTCACTGTCTCCTCCCCTGCCAGGGGGCCAGCTTGCGTTGCTTCTGCGCTGCTTGGCTTCGCTGTCGGAAGACTCATTTCGACACTCATTGCTCTGCCGTAGGAGGTATCCCTCGCCACGGGTTCCATGCCGATCTCTTCTATCGACTCTGCCATAAAGCTCGACACACTGCTTCTCCTGCTGGATCTAGCGCTTTCCTTTTCGTCTTTCTTCTCCCTGGTCACCGGCTCCGCCCCTGGCAAGGGGCCAACTTGCGCTGCTTCTGCACTGCTTTCCTTCGCGGTCGGAGGAGCCATCTCGACACTCAACGCTCTGCCCCTCGCCACCGGTTCCATGCCGATCTCTTCAATCGATTCCGCCACAGAGCTCGACACGCTGCTTCTTCGGCTGGATCTAGCGCTTTCTTCCTTCTCGTCTTTCTTCTGCCTGGTCACTGGCTCCGCCCCTGGCATTGAGTCACCTTGCCCTGCTTCTGCACTGTCTTGCTTCGAAGTTGGGGGAACCATTTCTGCGCTCAGCGCTCTGCCGTAGGAAGCATCCTTTGCCATGGGCTCCATGCCGATCTCTTCAATCGACTCTGCCACAACGCTCGACACGCTGCTCCTCCGGCTGGATCTAGCGCTTTCTTCCTTCTCGTCTTTCGTCTCTCTGGTCACAGGAACCGCCTGCGGTGCACTGGTGCGCTTCAACGGCAACGCAGGAATCCCTGCATAGACGCTCCCGCTGGAGGGATCCTGGGCTTCAGTTGAGTCTCGGCCACTTACTACCTGGAGTGGGGATCTTACATGTCACCCTGCCGTTTGACTAGAGCTGGGACCATTCATGCCCCTCCACATTGAATAGATTTGAAAAGGAGGGATCGAATCACGACAGTAATGGAGAGGCCGAAACAAAATCGTAATTAATCCTCACAGGCCCACCTCGTTGACAGATTTGAAAAGGAGGGATCGAATCACGACAATAATGGAGAGGCCGAAACAAAATCGTAATTAATCCTCACAGGCCCACCTCGTTGACAGTGAATCCACTGCCCCGCTCCCGCTGTGAAGCCAGATCTTCTGACTGAAGCCCGAGGTCCTGAACGTTTTCAAGAAAGATTGCACAGCAGGGCATAGCACCATGGACAAGAGCACGCACCTCAAGCGGTAGACTCATGATGCCTGAGCGAGCAGTATTGGGCTCAGTAGCCTAACAAACAAGGCTTTAAGGAAGCAAAGGTCCGGAATCATCCCGGCAGGGCACCTTGAGATGAAGCTTCGCTGTCTTCTCTGAGGGGCCTTACGCTGGTCGGAGTTCCGAAGGTTCAACAGGACACTGTCACAGTATACTGTGACTGAGTCAGCTGGCACGGAGCCTTCTGCCTCCACAGCCTCTGCGCCTCAGACAAGTTCCATATAGCTCGTGAGGCGTAGACGAGCCATGCAGTGCTCGCCGTGGCTACGCTGCGGCTACGCGGTGGCTACGCATGCCGTGACCGAGCCACTGGCCCACAGGACGTATCTCTGCGCCCGGGAAGTCCTCACGGGAGTTGCTTCGATTGGATTGCTGGCGCTGATCCTCAAGACCGATCAGTCTGGTAGGGGCCCCCAGTGATTGCAATCCTCATTGTCTTCCTGCTTGTCTCGCTGCTTTGTTGCAGCTTCTAGCTGGACGGCACTGCTGACAGCACTGCTACAACAACATTTGTCTTCCTCTTGTCGCTACATTGCTACAGGATTCTATGACTCTAGGACTGGTAAACACGCTCTCTTCCGTAAACCCCTAAACCCCTAAAAACCCTAAGACCCTAAGACCCTAAGACCCTTAAAACCCTAAAACCCTAAGACCCTTAAAACCCTAAAACCCTAAACCCCTAAAAATACCCTAAAAACCCTAAAAGCCTAAAAACCCTATAAACCCTAAAAGCCCTAGACCCCTGGTGGTCCTTAGGCCCTTGGCTCTTCGCTCTTTGTTTACAAGCCTCTCAACTCGATTCAATCAGAGTTTAGGGCTCAGGGTTTAGGGTTTAGAGTTCAGGGTTTAGGGTTTTAGGGTTTAGGGTTTAAAGTTCAGGGTTTAGGTTTAAAGTTCAGGGTTTAGGTTTAGAGTTCAGGGTTTAGGG